GAGGGGGCCCGAGGTGGGGGGCGGGGCCTTGGCCGCCCGCGGGCTCGGTGCGCCGGCGGGGCTGTCCGTGGAAGCGGGACGGGCAGCTCCTCCGCAGGTGGCCCCCGAGGCTCCCAGGCTTCCCGCTTGGGTGCCGGGCCGCGATCTCCCTCAGCACTCGGGATGGGAGCCCCGGCTTCTAGGCCGGCCTGCGTGGCCTTGGGCAGGTCACCTGCCGCTCTGGGTTCCTCTCCTGTCCGGAGAGAGGTGGTTGGACTGCAGTCTCCCAGGCCTTGGCCTTCTAATCCTCAATGTCTGCGTCTGTAAAATGGGCCTAAATTAAGACTTTCTGCCTCCTAGTTAAGAGGATTAAATGAGATCAAGAACATGAAGGGCAGAATCTGGTGCATAATGAGCTCTCAAACGTGGTTATCAGGATCATGAGGTTGGGGGACACCCCTGAGAAGTTCTCCTTTTCCTTCAAGGGATCCTGCCCTGTGTTCCGATCCTTCCCGTGGTGGCAGGGAGAGGGTTTGGGATTCGGGCCATTGCCCTCCTGGTCAGGAACTCTGGTGGCAGAGGGAAGTTATGCCCGTTTTACAAAGAGGGTAACTGAGACTCAGAAAAGGAAGGGGTCTGCCCAAGTGCATCGAGGTGGGGGATGGGGTGGACTTGGGTAGTTTAGGCAGTAGGTTCCCAGGCTTCCCTCCCGCAGGCCTCAGGCTCTCTCAGCAGTGGGAGGGCTCACGCCTGTGCTGCGGTCTCTGGACTTTGGGCAGATGGAGGGTAGGGGGCCCGGGGCCAGGACAGAGCAAGACGACCACATCTCTTCAGCAACCTGCCAGAGCTATAGTTTCTGCCCCTGCTTCTAACAGGCTCGGCTCTGCCCTGTACCAAGTGCTGAGGCCCTGGGTTAATCAGTTAGCTGCCCCGGGCCTCAGTTTGCTCATCTGTAAAGTGGGGATACCTCAGAGGCTGGGCCAGTCAAAAGGGGTCGGAAGGGCACCTTGGTTCCTCCCGCTTTCTCGGGGCTGGTGAGCCCTTCTTCCCTGCTGGGGAGGTCGAGGCAGGGCGGCTGTGCCCCAGGACCCGGCCTGAGCCATGCCCTCCCCACAGCCACCCGCGAGTCGGCCTTCGTGCACGCCATCGCCTCTGCCGGCGTGGCCTTCGCCGTCACGCGCTCCTGTGCCGAGGGCACCTCCACCATCTGCGGCTGCGACTCGCACCACAAGGGGCCACCTGGCGAGGGCTGGAAGTGGGGCGGCTGCAGCGAGGACGCCGACTTCGGGGTGCTCGTGTCCCGGGAGTTCGCGGACGCGCGCGAGAACAGGCCGGACGCGCGCTCGGCCATGAACAAGCACAACAACGAGGCGGGCCGCACGGTGAGCTGCGGCCGCCCTCGCACGACCCCGCCCGGTACCCCTTTGGGGACCCTGTCCCTGCCCCTCCTGGCTGGCCTCGCCCCCGCCCCACCCTGCCCTTCTGGTGACCCTTGTGCATCCCGGGCTCCCTGCTCTCCTCTTTCCCCTTGGTGGAGCTTGGCTCCCACCCACACCCCACAATCACCCCTTCTGTTCACCCATTCTCCCCGGGCTGTTTTGCATCTGCGCCCGCCCAGGGATGCGTCAGCTAGGGAGCGAGGGGCCCCATGGAGCAGGTACCCGCCAGCCCATCCAGTGCACTTGGGCTGCCCTGGGCAGGGCCGTGAAGACCGGTGGGCCTGACTGAATTCAGCCTCCACGGCTTCCTCTGGTTGTTTGATCTAGGGCGAGTCACTTAAGCTCCTGGTCTCAGTTTCCCCATCTGTTAAACGGGGATCACCATCCCCATCTCCTACAGCTTTGAGAAATGGCTGGGATTTCTGCCAATGCTTGGGCTGTGAAGGGGAGGGAAACAATGGTCATCAGTCTTTAGGTCCGCACCTCGGCCCCCAATCCATTCTCTTCCTGACCCCCAGTAGGAGTAGAGAAGGCTCCAGGGATGGGGTGGGCAGGGGGCAGAGTGGGAGGGCCTAGGTGGGGTCGTGCTGGGGGCCAGCTGCTTCTCCTCTTCCCCAGACCATCCTGGACCACATGCACCTCAAATGCAAGTGCCACGGGCTGTCGGGCAGCTGTGAGGTCAAGACCTGCTGGTGGGCCCAACCCGACTTCCGCGCTATCGGCGACTTCCTCAAGGACAAGTACGACAGTGCCTCGGAGATGGTGGTGGAGAAGCACCGCGAATCCCGCGGCTGGGTGGAGACCCTCCGCGCCAAGTACGCGCTGTTCAAGCCGCCCACCGAGAGGGACCTGGTCTACTACGAGAACTCCCCCAACTTCTGCGAGCCCAACCCCGAGACGGGCTCCTTTGGCACCAGGGACCGGACTTGCAATGTCACTTCCCACGGCATCGATGGCTGCGACCTGCTGTGCTGTGGCCGCGGCCACAACACGAGGACGGAGAAGCGGAAGGAGAAATGCCACTGCATCTTCCACTGGTGCTGCTACGTGAGCTGCCAGGAGTGCATCCGCATCTACGATGTGCACACCTGCAAGTAGGGAGCCAGGTAGGGCGGCGGGCCGGGGGCGGCTGCGGGGCCTTGGGACAGGGACCTGGGTTTGCCCGGCTCCTCTTCCTGACCAACCCACTTCTCTTTCTGAGCTGTCCAAGACATGCGGCCCAAAACAGGAAGCCAGGATTTCCCCAGCTGCAGTGGGAATGGTCCCCGGGCAGCTTTGGGTGGACTACACAAAGCACAGATACCAGCCAAGTGTGTGCACGCAAGACTGCCAGCAACTGATTAATATTTGTATACAAGTTAGTAAATTATGAGCCAGGTCAGATGTTTGCATGGCCACTGGCTATCATTGCTGAGCATCTGGGAGCCAGAGGAGGGACACTGTGGGGCTGGAAGCCAGGACACCTGACTTCTGGTCCCAACTTTGCCCTGTTCCATGAAGTCCCCAATTTCCAGTTCTTTCACTTCCATGGGCCTCAGTTTTCTTACCGTAAAACAAGGGGGGTAAAATAATTGAAATAGTAGGCCAAAGATCCTCTTTTACCCCTGGGGCAGAGTCATTTTGCATCCACCTTGAACTTTGAGGGCAGGTTTTTGCACAAGCATAAATCCTACTGACCTCGAGGAGGTGGGTGGGGGAAGCGGTATATAAGCCCATATCCTGACAGATCTGAAGCTTGGGTGGAGTGGGGCCACTCTCACCGAGTTTATGGAAGGGGATGGGGAGGAGGAGGGATTCAAGTTCAGAGTGATGGTGGTGAGTAATCAAGGGATCAAAGGCTGGTGGGTTATGTTCCCAAGCTTCCCAGAGGTGGCCTGCGTGGGAGACACGGTGCCTGGCCCTTGGAGCCATCGGTCCCCAGCATAGGTCAGGACTGATGTAAGGTGGTCCTCGAGTCTTGGGGCTGGAAGGTCTGAGGCCACTATGCCCTCTCTCCCTTTTCTCTGCCCTGAGAAGGAGCCTAGTATATAGAGGCGTGAGCCCTGGTCCAGCTGCCGTCACCTGCCAGCCGGGGGGACCCACACAGGAGAGTTTTTATAGATCTGCCTCCTTATCTATCATCCTCCCCAGAGGTGCTGTGGGGACAGTGCTTGGTTCATTGCGAAGAACTTACCTGCCTGAATCATCGCCCCGGGACAGTGCAGGGGAGAGCACCCCACTGGGCGACACAGCTCCACAGAGGGCACCCCCGAGCTGGTGGCACGCGTCTACACTGTGTGGGCCTGGGGGAGGGGCCTGGGGCCTCTCTGAGGTGTGGAGGAACCCACACCATGGGGAGAGTTCTGCGTGAGTCCATCTGGGAGGCCCCTTGGTGTAGCTCAAGCTATGACCTGCCAGGGACGGGGTCCAGAAAGGCAGCAGGCAGCACGGCTTTCTTGGTGTCTGAACGGGCGCAGTGTGGCCGGCAGCACCAGGTCAGCCCGGAAGCCCCGAGTCCAGTTTCCTCATCCGTACGGTGATGGTGGGAGCCTAACAGGAGTTTTATAAGCCCCAGTGAGCTACCAGCGGCGAATGCTTGTCTGAATCTGATACTGATAGGGAGTGATAACTGCCATCAGAGAGCCGTGACATGAGGGTGTCATCCCGCAGTGAGATGGTGTCATCCGCGTGGGCAAGTTTCGTTTCCTGCTTCTCACAGTGGTAGGAAAGTCCGCGAACACGGAAGAGCTCACAGGCTCATTGTAGCATGCCCACTGTGGCCAAGGCAACGTGGTGCCCCCAGCAGGACATAGCTCTGGCCATTCTGAGGGGGAGCCGAGGGGAAATCAGAACTTCAGAACACTAACAGCAGACCCATTGCTAGGGGAGGGACACTGAGCCCAGGACACTTTCTGCCTCCAGAAAGCTTCCAGACGGGTCCTGCAGAGGCTCCAGCACAGTGGCTCCAGGGGGCTCTGGGGTGTCACCGAGTCGGACCCCAGCAGCTGTGTTCCAGCACCTCCCCTCCCCAGGTGGGCCGCCAAGATAAGCCATCAGCCAAGCAGGGAAAGAGGTGCTGGTTTGACCCTCAGTGTCCAGAAAAATCCTCTGCCTGCCCACCTGTAATTAGTACTGATCCTGAGAGGCATTAATACATCTTCAGCACTCTTTTCTCCCATTTCTGAAGTAGAATGGTGTTTTCTCCAATCTGACAGAAAGAGCTACACAGGCATGGATTCGAAATGCCCTGTCCAGGTAGACCGGTGCCCCCGAGGCCCTTCCCTCTGGTCACTCTGGAGCCCTTGCTCTGGGACAAGGGGAGGACTCGCTCCCAATGTGGTACCTTTGGACAGATTCTCAACTTGCTGAGTGATTTGGGGCAAGCTGTGGAGCCTCTCTGTGCCCCGGTTCCCTCATTTGTGAACTGGGTGGGGGGGTTGTTGTGTGGACCAGAGGTGGTATACACCAAGGGCCCCAGTGCTGGGCCTGGCTCGTGGTCCAAGGAAGCAGCAGAGATTCCCAGGCTGAGCAGAGCTGACCTCCCAGAGCGACGTTCCCCAGGCGCACTGCGTGGTCTCAAGCCACAGGCCCAAGATGGGCTGAGACCTGGCTGGTTAGCTCCCCCTCCTTTCATCTACACTGACACTGCAAGCAAGATAGGAACCTTCGAGACAGGATGGCAGGGACATATGCCCTCCCCACACTGGGTGGGGAGCCCCAGTCTAAATGGCTTGATTCCTGGTCCTTCCCTGGTGGGGAAAACATCTTTTCCATTGCCCGTAGCTTCTGTCCAGTGTCTCATGCTGACGACCGATCGCCTACCCTGCAAGTACCACGTGCATTCCTTGTTATTCAGATGTTGCGAGCACAGTAAGCTGGAAAGGGCTCTCTCTGGACAAGAGTCAGGGGGCCTGGCTGGCCCCAAGTGCTGGATCTGTCACTAACTTGCCACAAAACCTTGTACATGTCCCTTTAATCTTGCTGAGGCTCGGTTTCTGCCCCTGTAAAATAGTCTTCCACTGGCCCTGTCCGCCCCCTGGGGACTGGAAGGTTGATTGGGAATGCCCTTGAAAGCACTTCGGGCCTCAAATCCTCGGTGAGATGTCAATACACAAATGAGTAAGAGGTACATATTGGTTCTCCCGAGAAGGAATTATTCATAGTTCATTAAACAGCCGTGCTCCTGTGTGGACAGCTCATTACCAAACAGCTGGTACGACAGAAAAGCACAGTGTCCGCGTCTAGTCTCATGGGGAACGGGACCCTGGACCGGAGGGTCCTTCAGTCTCTCTACGAGGGGGACTCCTGCCTGGCGGCAGCTGCCCACCACTAGCCTTCCTGCTGCCCAAGCTCCCAGCTAGAAGGTGGGGCAGGTAGGGTGTGGATCCCAGTCTGTGGTTGCTAAAGCCCTCCTGTTCCTATTTAAATCACGCGCCCTTCCTCAGCGGCAGATCCCAAAGCAGAGGAGGGGCTACGGGAAAGCCACTTGGGTTCCCCATTGCCCCCAAGGACACGAGAAATGTCGAGCTCTCCTGTCCACAGCCTCTGATCGCGGCACCCCAACGGGCGGCTCCTCCGAGAAGGGAATTACGTGTCCGATTCTTCCTCTTTGTTTTCCAAAGGGCACTGGGAACGGGTGAAGTGTGTGGCTGGGCAGATTCACCGAAGTCCCATGGGAAGCAGGACCTGGAGCCGGGCTCAGCGCTCAGCACCAGGCAGCAAGGAACCCGGACTGTTGCCAGACGCCCGTGCGGTAAATGACCTGGACCTGTGCCGCCCGCTGCCGGGGAGGCCTCCCTCGCCCTCTCTCTTGAGTTTCTCACCCTGCTCTGGATGGTGTGTGGTTTTTAAAGAAGGGGCTTTCTTTTTAGTTCTCTAGGGTCTGATAGGAACAGACCCCAGGCTTATCTTTGCACATGTTAAAGAAAATAAAAATGGAAAAAAAAATTCTACTCCGACAGAACAGGCTGGGCTGCCATGAGCTCTCTGCCTGGTGGTGAAGAACTCAGCACGGGCAGGATTGTTTCCAGACGCTTCTTCTGGTGACATGCCAAGATGCCTGTGAGGTGGGAGTTAGGAAGTAGGACAGACCCCTGCAGTCTCCTTTTCTTGGTCTCCTCCTGCTCAGATCTGATAGACTTCCACATTCGGACAAAAGCCATAGGTGTAGCTAGGATCAAGTGGGAGGGAGGCCCAAGGCAATTGTGGGAGTAGGATTGGGAGTTTTGAAGAACCAGGAGCGCTGGGCGGCCTGGGAAGCTGTTTGAAGAGCGGCTGTGTGTTCTGCTCAGTCTCGTTTCCTCTGTCAGCCTGTTCTGCGCCAGAGGCTCTTAGGAACTGCAGTCAGAGCTCCCAGTCTCTGTTGTCCTTCTGTGGTGTCTACCAGGAACGCAGCGCGGGGTGTTTTGGCTTTTTTTTTGTTTTTTCTTTTTTTTTTTAAGAGGACGAAACGATGTAAATAGGTTATGTTTAGGGGTGGTGAGCCTTCTGCAGCTCCAATGGTTTCCTAAAGAGAGAAGTGGTATCTTTAGAAGGGGCCATTCAGTCCCTCCCGGCCCTGCTCACCTGCCGATTCCCCACGAAAACAACTCCAGGTAGAGCAGTTTGGAGTTCAGGTTACCTCAGTAGAAATCAGACAAAGGGTCAGAGAGAGAGTAGCGGTCGATTCCTGAAGTCCCAACTTGGTGACTTGTAGCTAGGGAGGATAAAAACGGTTCCTTCGTTTCTGCTCTGATAAAGACACATCTTCTGGCTTCCTTTCCCTGCTTTGGCCTGTGCGGGTAAAAGAGAAACACACACCTGCTGGCCTCACCTGTGTGCAGAGAGCATGCCAGTCCACGCAGTTCCCAAGGATCAGGAGGAGGTGTTCGAAGGAGGGCAAGCAGCCTCTCCCAGCTGAGCTCCCCTTGCTCCAGGCGGGTCCTCTCGAGGGTCCTGAACGGAGGCCAGCAGATCGGATGGCACGAGCCAAGGCCACAGCTCTGTCCTAGGGAGAATCAGCAAGAAGAGAGGCAGCGGGGGTAGAGACGAGAACAAGGTTGTTTCTTCCTTTACTCCCTTCTCTCTTTGGTCTGCCTCACACTGACCTCAGCTACCGGGGCAAGTGATCTTCCTGCTTGCTCAGGCAGGCTTGCCAAGACCATCTAGAAGCCATGCCCGCACTCTTGATTCTGCTGGCAACGAGCCCGGCTAAAGATACACATCCCATCCCCCTCTCCAGAGAGTCCGAAATGCCCCTCCCCATCTCACCTTAGACTGAAAAGTTTTCAATCATGTCAACCGGATAATGCTTGCTTTATGTGAGAATTATTTCAGCAGAATGGATACAAATTTTCAGAACAGTCTTTTCATATCTATGTATTCTATATTAAAAGTGATAAAGTCATGTTTCTGGGGCGTATTCAAGTAGCCGACAAGTAATTATTTAATAATAGTACACTGAGCGCATTGTAATTATTCTCGCCGTAGTCAGGTAATAGTATCCAACAGAAATTTCCTACCGATCTGCTGTATCCAAAGTTTTGTAAAAAGTTGTAGAAGTTGTTGATCTTTTTGATTTTATATTCAAAAAGTCTCTTTTTATAAATATTATTTATTATACAATGTATATACCTTTGAGTTAACTAAGATTATATATTATATAAATATATATATATTTGGAGAAAATATATTTCATCATGCAGTTTTTTTCTGTTAAGTCATTAAAGAGAAGGTAAACAAACTTAAAATGGATACATTGTACCATGTGTGGAGTTTCCAGATTAATGCTCAGGAGGTCAAGAATATCCAATTTCTGAAGGTGGTGGCCTGAACTTGCACCCTTAATTGAGTGGCCCAAAGTAAAGCCATTCCCTCTGTTCTCTAAGCAGGATCATCTCAGACATCAGGGACATTGGGTCTCATCTACTGTAGGACTTTCTTACAGGCTTACCTTGTTCTAAGTCCACATCTGACCAGTAATTCCTAGGTTTGGAAGTAAGCGGTTTGGGCTGTAATTCCTTTCCTAGACTCTAGCACTTCACTGCACAAATGAATATCACAGACACTCAAAAGATGTGGCTCAAGGCCAGCAGCCCACGGGGTTGGTTAATCCTTTCCTCACCCATGTTTGCAACTCCATTTATTGGGAAAATAGGATTTGCTCTATTGAAAATGAAACCTGACTGGAAATGGCTTCCCCTCCTGCTAGCACAGCTATAGAAGGGGTAGGTTGGTCGGGAAGAAGAAATGGTTTGGCCTGGCCTCTGGGTGGCCTGGAACAGGTATCATCTGAAGCTGGGGGTTGGGCAGAGAGGACCCAGCAGTGGGCACGCTCTGGGAAGGGCATTTTCTCCTTGGACTGCTGCTTCAAAAGGACTCACCTGAAGCTCACAAGCGATGCGCTCGACGATGAGGGGCAATAATTTGGTTTTATGATGATAGACAATCCTTTGGTCTTCAGACCTGCCCATAAAATGTCACCTTCAGTTTGTGTAGCACAGCTAAAATGCTTTCTTTTTCTTTCTCTTTCTCCCGATTTACCTTTATTAGAAGCAAATCTTATTCATCTCCCTGCAGAGACGAAAACAACATAAAAATAAAGTGGTCTGCCTTGTGCACCGGCGATGGGCTGCCCTTGCGCTCTATTCAGACCTTTAACCTGAGATTAGGAATGGCCACTAGAAGTTCATGAACTTTATTGTGCCTGTGACATGTCATTACTTAGTCCCTGAAAAGTGTAAGCCACAAAAATGGTTGTACTGGCCGCACAAGGAATTGGACGTGGAGCGCAGAAAGAAATCTCTGTTTCTCACAGCCCTGCTCATCTTGTACTTCACTCTGACATAAAACTAATACTCATCTCCCCCAGCATCCTGGGTACCTTTTTTTTTTAATCTATAAGATTGCCAAACATTTAAATGGTCCCTGTTCATATTTACCAAGGCCATTTGTAATCCTTTCTATGATTAATCATATTCTATGATTAAAGAGAACACAGTTTATTGCAGTGCTTGAACATTCAATTTCTCCGTAAGTATAAATACTAATAAACATCTAAAAACAAGAGGAAGTTTTTAAAAAAAAAAAAAAGATCCAAAAGAAAGAAAAGAGACAATATAGTGGGAAGATCTCTTTCAAAGTGGTTGTTTATGAAAAAAGCAGGGGAGAAAGGCTGGGGGTGGGGGGGACAAATAAAGGCAAAGGAAAGGCAGAGAAAAGCAGGGGGAGGGATGATGGGGAGGTGATCCTAGGTGGATCCAGTGATGGGATCCAGTGATCCAGTGGTACATCCATGCCAGCCCTGGGTATATGGACGGACATGTAAGGGGTGGCTGATCGACACACACAAGGGAAGTTAATGCGGCAAAATGACGGTGGCTATGCGGTCGTTTCTCTTAGCTTGACAGAGAACTCTTGAGGAGGCAAAGAATTACCTTACCAATAATCTGATACTCCTAAGGGAGTATGACCAAGTCAGTTGCGTGGAGAGACCGTATGCGGGGGAAAGTTCAAACTCAAGTCCTCCTTGCAAATGCTGTCTACACGGCTTGAGATTCTTGCCCATCACAGATACTCGGTAGAGCATCGTCATGCCTGGGTGTCCGCACAGCACACGCCCTCTGTGGGCTCTGCTCCAGGGCCCGGTCTCAGCTCTGCTTGCCAGTGGAGGAGAAACTTTAGATCATTTTGCAATAACTTCTGAAATTTACATGCTTTTTTGAACTTTCATCCACACCTTCCCCGGTGTCTTCTTTGAAGAGGCTTATGAATCAAGTGGCCAGGCAAGGAACAGGAAATCTTGCTTTTGCCTTCTGTGCTTGGGCTGGGTTGGTTGGTTATTGCTGACTCAGTGCTTCGACAAGTCTGTTTACCAGGATCTGATTATTACACACTTGAATCTATGACTTGCTGCTGAAACTTAAAGCAGAGGCGGTTCACTGTAATTTTTAGGACATGAAAAGACAGCCTTAAAGCAAACCATGTTTCAGATTTTAGCCACCATTATAGTTTTTCTGTTATATATATATAAATATATATAAGATTTTATTTGAGGGAGAGAGAGAGACTGAGCAGGGGGAGGGGCAGAGGGAGGGGGAGAAGCAGGCTCCCCACTGAGTAGGGAGCCCGATGCGGGGCTCAATCCCAGGACCCTGAGATCATGACCTGAGCTGAAGGCAGATGCTCAACCGACGGAGCCACCCAGGCGTCCCCTCTGTTACATAGTTTTGAAGGTATTTCAGTGAAGACGTACAAATACATGTAGGATGAGATAACCTCCTTTTCTGAGGTTTTAATTCTACCTGCTGACAAAAACTAGCCTGTTCACCGTGCATCCGTATATGAAGAAATCTAAAGCAGCAACTGGCTGGCCTCCTTTGCTTTGTCACTAGGCTTATGACGTCGTCATACGCTCGCTCACTCTCTGCCCAGGGCAGCTTTGAAGAGCCCTGGGATAGCTTCAAGACCCTACCTTCCCAAGGTTGTGCAGGGACCCGGGTGGCCTCGGGGTCCTCCTAGGAGGTGTGGACAACTCCCAGGGAGCTGACCTCTTTGCACTGAGCCTTGCTGATTCTCTGAGCTGCCTTTCCTCCTAACCTCACTCCACTCTAAGCATCGGGCTTTTAGGCTAAGAGATCCAACAGCTCAGAAAAATGCAAAAAAGGATTCCAAAATGAAACATGTGAAGAAATCCCACTGAGAGTGTCTGAATCCCTTGGTTTGTACATTTCAAAGGAGTAATTCTAATTGAGAAACAGTTTTCCTTTCTGGATTATTACTAACCCATTTATGGCTTTGGTCTGCTTCAGTTTTTTAATAAGGTGGAAATAAGTAAAATAAGTATGAAGGTTCTTGTTATGCATTAACTCTTGAAAATATGCTATTGATGTATTTCTCTTTTCAAGTGACTATACTTCCTAAATAATGAAAACCAGAGACTTTTAAATAAAAATCCTCCATCTCCTTAGGCTAGTTATAACAAAACAAGGAGGGGCTTTTCTGAGCCGCCTCCTCTTCACACATTCCTATCAGTTATGTGTGTTGTTTTGTACAAAACATGGTCCACAGAATGTTTTCGAGTATAGATACTCTTTATTGCATTCCTTCATTTGCAAGAAATAATATATATTTTTCAATACAGTTTTGGACAAAACACAAAAGACATGAACCTCATTTAACGAGAGCCATAAGTTAATACAGTGTGTGTTGCTTTCCTGGGAGGAGAAAAGAGGCAAGTTGCACAAGAGATAGGGGACCCGGGGTACTGGCCATCAGGGATCACAGAATTACACAATACAAAATCCACTTTAAAAAGCCACAAAATAAGCTAGGGATGAAAACCCAAAATGAAGTAGATATGACACAGAAGTCAACCAAAAATATACAGATGGCAGGATCTGGAGATAATTCGCCTTCTACCACGGGGACAAATGACAGCTACACCCAAGTGCCACTGTGGCCACAAGCCTCATGGGC